GGTCGTCGACTGATAGTTCAGTGTGCTTTGAGCAACCGTTGTAGTGGTCAGCATTGTCGTAAACTCGACCATCGTAGTTGAAACTGTAAATTTGGAAAATGTAATGTTTCGCCGTGAAGGTTCATCAATTTTAAACGGTGTTGTTTTCTCTACAGTGCATGTGAGCCCTCGGATTTTTTGAAAAGGCTTGTTACGTTGCTATACAAGTAAACTTTTTAATATTTCCAAGTCGTGAACCTTTTGGGAGCGTACATTTCTCTCTATGTCTTGTAGTGGAAACCTTTGCTTAAGAAGTGGAAGAGCGAGGCTCACACGAATGTTTTCGTAAAAAGTGATTTTTTGGCAATTTTTTGCTTAAGTTTTGAGAAACGTGAAGTTTATGATCCAAGGCCAAATTTATCTTCCTATGTGGTTGCACCTTAGGCAGACGCTTGAGGAAAGTCATTATTTCAGTTTTGAAATTTGTTGTTACTTGAAATTATTGAAACCTAACCAAACCTTCCTTCTTAGGTACTGCACAGGTGGACAGAACTTTCGAAGGAAGTTGGAAATTGATAGAAGAGGAACAACTACCTTCGCAGGTGGGTACCGAATCACTCCTCCATGTTTCGCCGTTGTTGCTATTGTACAAACATTCAATGGACGAGGCGCCATGAAGAGTATATCCAGGATCACAGGAGAAATCCACAAGAATCCGGAAGAATATCAATTTATTGAAATAGCAAATCAGTGGAGGCAGATTGGTAATGGTGCGATCTCCGTTCTCGGGTGGTCCGATGTCATTGGTACAGACACCTGGTGATTGTGCGGATCGATATGAAGTAGTCAACGATTTTTAATTGATGACGTTTAAATGTACTGTATGAAACGTGGGCGTATTTACCTAATGTTATTACTACGTTCTGGGTACCACTTCAGTTCAGAGACGGTGTATCTCAGACACACTGTGGATACACACAACCTAAACAGTGGTTTGACTACGGAGGCAGACCCCCCCCTCAGCGGATGCCCATTGAGTATAGCTATGCAGCTACAGCAAATTTTTGTGGTACCCCCTTAAAAGTGTGCATCCCATAGTGCCCCTGGACATGTAGCCCTAGTACGCCACGGAACCTAAGCCAACCCAACAGTAGCGTATCTTGTGCATTTTTGAGTTAGGCTTTTGATTTTGTCTATTGCAACATCATATTGAATAAACCTGAATCCAGAGTTCCTTTTGAATTCCCTCATACCACAAAAAGCTCGATACGCCACTGCAACCAAATCGAGTCCAATCCAACCCAACCCGAACCAACCCAACCCGACTCACCTTGACTCAACGATTAGGTCACTGCATGGAGAACGAAAAGTGGCCGTCTGAAAAGCAGATTTTACGTCTCTGTAACGTGCAATTTCGACTACCTGAAAATCAGAATACTTTTTTGCATCTTTCCATAGTTCTGCATTTTACTTTTCCCCTGTACCCTGGCTTTAAAAGTGGTGGTCATCTGCTTTTTGCCCATCGAAAAAGCGGAAACGAGGATCAAACTGTTTGTTCCATTTTGCTGTTTTTTGGGATACCAGAAAAGTAGATTTTACTGAGGCGCCCAGCAACAAACCTACAGATTCACAACCCCGTACATGGCCCATGGAAGGCAGAAAGCTGATAACCGCTTTTCGGCCGCCTGTATAAAATCTGCTTTTCTGGTATAAATCGACGCGCGCGCCGATCAGGGACGAAAGACTTTTGGGGCCCTAACCCAGAAATCATATATTTATTGGCCAGCGTGTTTTGTTGGATTCAACAAGTTATACCAAGTTGAAATCTGAGCCTGAGGGTGACAAATCGACACATAAATATACCGACAGAATCTACTGACTGGTTTTTGTCTTACTTTTGTACACGGACAGGCACCAAGAGTCTCCACAAATCTGGCAGCTGTTTCCCATACACTTATCTTGACACTCGAAATCGGCTCGTTCATAGTGTTTGTCACAGTCCTTGTTATTCCCACAGAAGCATTCAGATTTATGTTTGAGTCCAGCATATATGTACTTCATTTGCTGGGATTCCAAACAGCGTCTAACGCAATACTCCACAAACTCTTCTGCATCGATTTTTAGACTGGGCCGATAAAGTGCACGATCCGAAGAGTCCTCGAAGCATCCCACATAAACAGGCTCTGTAAAGAAAAACAGTCATAAGTACCCAAGACAATTCAGCTCTGTCTATTGGCCTCAAGCTTGACCAAGACAGGGCGCTATTTTCTGAGCAACGGCAGCTGTAGTAACTGCGCATCGCTGGTTCACAACGACTATGAAATGCAGTCGCATTGCTACCAACAAAATGAACACTCCCGACCAACGCTGCTCTTATTAAACCGACGAAGGGGTGCTTCTGCTAGCGGCGGATTGATCGAGAGCATCAACGACACACTAGCCGTAAATGATATTCATTTAGCATAAGCAGCACATGCTGGCTCATTATATTGTTATAAAAAGTGGAGAAAACCTAATGAGGGTGATATCATGCACCTCACCAGTACCAATATACCTTGCATCCTCAAAAATAACTGTAATCCTGGCCAAATAGGCCCCGCACCCCAAGGCCCCCTCTCGGTGATAGGTCTGCAATGTACAGCCTGTTAGTGCGCTCCAGGTCCGATGGGAGCCTGCAAATCGTGAAGCGTCCACCTTTGTGACGAAGTCACTTACGAACCGAATAAGAAACCCATGAGGACTTCACATTTGAATAAACTAGACCACGTGCCAATTTGGCTACTTCTGCAGTGGACGTACTCGAATTTTCTCCATGTCTAACCTGCAGTACGCCTACTCACCATTATCCAGCCCAGAGATTGCAAACACGAGTTGAAAGTTCAACGCCGATAACAACAGACCTCAGTAGAGCCATTGCAAACATCGTTCCTCTGCTGCAAATACTTTTGTTTCCTGAGGAATGAGCTTTTGGTCGGATGGGGTGTCAAGTTCCTTGTCAGTCAGCTCTATGGGCAGTGGTTTCGATGTTCAGAATTTCTCCTGGGGTGAATTGACGACTCAGGTTTTTTAATGCTGAAACATTGCCAACAATAAGTGCTTGGTGACATTCGGTTAATCCACTCTTCCCACTCTTAAGTCAATTTTGATTCAATGTTGATAAACCGGGAGGGGACTAGAGCAGACTTACTTTACCGAGGCTCAGAGGGCAATGATGACATAAACATTTACTCGCAACGCTTTGTCAGCACTTTACGGGAGCTGCCTGAAGAGAAGACATCCAGGCTACAGGCTCCATCCCTCTGCACTTAGTTCATGTCTAGATTTAGTAAATTCTGTACTGGCATCCTAAGTTTCCAACACTGGCGAATGCAGCGTTTCTGTAGATCTGAGCTCCATCCGCACCCTGTACGCATTTTATACCTGCGGGTAGAGAGTCGATATAACCACCTGTGTAACCGATCAATCTGCGTTCTGTCCCAGGATCCTTGCCAAAAATAACACGGAAATACGTTCATCTCAGTCTCGTCCCTTTGTTTAACGACGTGACAGCATGTTTTGCGTTGAACGCGCCACAAATGCATCGCACAGCTGTACACGCCGGAATTGGTCCTCAACACACCACGACGTGTTTCTTAGAAGCACGATGCACGACAACATGTCACTTTCCTTGACTCCTGCGTTGGCAGTTTGTGGCAATCCCCCCTTTTTTACGGGATTTGGAAGATTGTGTCGACAGTTCTGTTGCA